ACGACATTGAATTGAGGAGAGAAATGTTTTCTTCGCTGGACAGAGTGATCCAAGAAATAACTTTGAGATTTCAACAGCTTCATGAACTTGCTGAGAAATATGCCTTCCTTACCCCATTGAATCTTTTGGATGATAAATATGAGTGTCAAATAGATCACGATCACGACGACATTGATAATGAGGAGTTTGTAGTGGAATTCTCCCCTACAAACGCTGTTTGTCGCTGCCTAGCCGACCCCACCAATTCCCCAGTGTATGCCTCGTGGTCTAGGTCAACCAGCGCCGCCATACACCACGGAGCGGGGGTCAACTGCTAAGCCACGCCTACCCCCGCTATTTAAGACCTGACCTCGTGGTGATCTCTCTCTTTCTACCTACACCAACCAGCCAGCAACACCTCCGCCTGCCTGGCGGTCCTCGCTCCTCCGCCTGCCTGGCGGTCCTCTCTCCCGCTGGCGAGCATGGCGACCCACAAGCTGTCCTTCTCTGAGCGTCCTCACCAACCAGCTCTCTCTACATCACGCTTGTAACCATGCTGCCTTCCCAGCACCAAGCTGCATTGTACATCCAATACAACATGTATATAGAGAGCACATTGTGAGTTTCCTTTCTCCATTCCATCTCATACCCCACAAATGGTGACTCCCGGAGATTCGCACTCACACAGGATGGAGGAGAAACTGATCACGCTCCCAGTCTTCAAGCAACATGGAAGACTGGCTTATCCACCCAGAAGCAGCTCTCATCGGCTCTACAGCTACTGTCTCTACACCGCAGGTTAGACACCCTAGAGCAGCTCTGCTACTCTAAGCAGACACCAGCTCCTCTTCCTGCCCTAAGCACCACGTCCTACCGACCCCAGCACACCCGTCCTGCCTCAGACGCCGACCCCGGCCCAGCAGTAACCCCTGCCGCCCTTGATGCGGCCTCTGTTCCTGAGTGCGGACCACACACACCCCTCTTTTCTCCCCCAGGTACTCCCTGCTAATGTCCTGCACCCTGCTGCTGTCGTGGACCCAGCTGCTGTCACGAGCCCTCATCCGTTTCTGCCGACGCAGCCCCTGCTCCTGACCCAGGCCCACACACCCCAGCAGGCGCATCTGACGACTCGGTACCTGCCATGAGGGAAGCACAAAATTCATCGCCTCCACACACCCTTATTCTCCCTCTCTACTCCCACAGATATTGTGTATCTAGACAGTTGTCCCCAGCGACCGGCTCATCCACGCCATCGCCGTTGTCTCACATGAGGCACGCACCGCCCGTTCTGCCTCACATGTGCTATGCAACCCTGCAGACAACAAGTCTCCTACACAGCCTGGAGGGAAGGGGGAGTATTGTAGTGGAATTCTCCCCTACAAACGCTGTTTGTCGCTGCCTAGCCGACCCCACCAATTCCCCAGTGTATGCCTCGTGGTCTAGGTCAACCAGCGCCGCCATACACCACGGAGCGGGGGTCAACTGCTAAGCCACGCCTACCCCCGCTATTTAAGACCTGACCTGGCCTTCGTGCCCCCCCCCCCACCCTCATCAAGTGATGTGCAACCAGAAGACTTAGGCAACGAAATCGGCATCCGATTCTACTCAGTTAACACACCACCTACAATAACAAATGACAGACTTCTCCAGGAAATAAAGGAAGGCACAGTAAAAGTTACCTACGAAGATGATAGGGTAGAAGAATCCTACATAGACCAACTGATAAATGCAGGACTTATTAACACCAAATACAATAGAATTGAAAGAGTAGATTCAATTAAATTTAAGAAAATCAGAACGGGATTGAAGGAGGAAACGAGTAGACACTCGCCAGGAGATATATGAGCCAGCAGACACCCTACACCAAGTTCTCGGGACCCACGACTACTCAAAACAAATCATTAAAGATAATCCAGCACAACGTCCTAGCCTGGAATTCGGCAAGGAAATCAGAACTCGCCAACATATACAGCACATTAGACCCTGACATCATTCTTATCAACGCACATGGTAGGAAAAATAGTGAAAAAATCAAGATCTTTAACTACCATGTACATCAAATGAACATACACGACGAACCACATGATGGCATAGCAATTGCCATAAAACGCAACATACAATATAAAATCATTGACAACTTTCAAAGTAACTTTCTGGCAGCCGAAGTAAATACAACAAGAGGGCCAATAACCATCGGAACTTCATATTTAACATTCAGAAGACCAATATTTCCTACAGGGGACATCTTAAAACTAATGAGGCAAAACAATCCAGCATACTTCATAGGAGACCTCAATGCAAAACACACAACCTTAGGAAACAATGTCAGAAACCCAGGAGGAAAAATCCTCCATGCTCTCATCGATCACGGGACAATAACACACCTCGGGCCCGACTTCGCAACTTACATATCAGCCGGCAACACTGGGAAACCAGACATTGTTTTAACCAATAGACATCACCATCTAAACGTACATCTAAAAGCTGGACCCACAACAACCAGTGATCATCTACCCATAAT